GGAAGAGAAGAACTGGCAATAAACTCTCCGCCACTCTTTTTAATCGCCAAGTTTTTTGTTTTACACAATGTTTGTAAGGAGCTGCAACCATTACACCATGTTCCACATGACATCTTAAGTAATTAATAGTTAATTAGCAATAATAAGATAAATTAAAAACAAAGATTTGTCCTCTATCAGCAGGAGGCATGGTGAAATGCATAGCTTTCTTTATATATGTAAGGAAAACATAATATTTAATATTTTCCTATACAAACTCTTTTTATATTTTATTTTTCTTCTTTGCCGTCTGATCGACGATGTTTTATTTGTCACTTGACATAATAGATGTAAGATGTTTTAATTTTTTCTTTACATTATTTTATTTTATAAAACCTAGAATATAGGCTTTAAATGTTGTTTCTTTTGTATTCACAGGTGAGTGAATAATTTGTAAATATATATTTTTCATTAAATGTAAATTAATAGATATTTCTTTTGTAAAAAAAATTGTTCTTTTGTATTCACAGAGAAACGCAGTTGCGCCTTATTTATTCCCAGTACTCGTATAAGCGATTGATACCATTATATATATACTATACTACCTCATGGAAACATCACAGGTATTCCATACATAATATTTGTATTACTATATTGAATTATCTGTAAACATATGTTGAAATTATTATCTCGATACTTCGATACTTACGACTTTACACGTCTTAAGGATTTAGATCTCTTGAATGTTTGTTTAGTTTTAAAATTATAATAATAAATATCCTAAATGGAGAGCCCTATGGAAGCTGTCGACACGCGCGAGAGTAGAAACCCGTAGTCCGGATGAATTACTATTGTCGATAGAAGTGACCGAGAGGCTCTAACGAATTCACCAATACGGCCTTTGTGGAGGTGCACATCGGCTAGTGACCCACACTTGTCATGCCAAACCAACACCAAAGGTGTTTTACCTAGGACTAATCACTATAGAGAAGTAGGTACGGTATTAAAAGGCAAATTAAAGATTTAACTTCATTCTTCAATTCACTTAAGGATGTTTGAATATGATTGAAATAAAAGAGAATATTGGCAAAAGAGTATTTTCTAAGTATTAATTAACTCTTAATGAATAAATATAAATTTAGAAATCCCTTAAAAGTTGTTTGTGTGAAACAAACAGTGAACAACTCAATGGATCATTAATTCTATTATCTCATTAAACAGTGATAATAGGACAAACCACAATATATATTGATGTATTCGTCGCTGTCACTACAGGTCCATATTAGAATGAGCTAGCACACAATAAAACTATTCGGTGAGCAATTCAACCCTTCGCAGGGGTCCGTCCCGGGGACACAATGCGCTGATAATTAAGTCCCCATTCATTCATCGGGGACGTGACAGGAGACGTCCGACGCACACACCAAAGGATCGGTTGAGCCGCGTGGGATGTGTCAATACATAGTTTAAACCCTTTCCTTTACAATGTAACGCGCTATCTCTGTTTTGCTGTATGATGCTGTATGATATTGAAGAGAAGAAATATTTTATCATAATACTGATACGAATATATAATAATACTATTTAAGAGAAACGGCTAGTCACCTATTAGATCGACCACTCTGGTAGTAGAACAGATGTCCGCGTCACGCAGCCGAGAGCGAAGTGCCGCTACTCATTATACGATGCATTAATACTGATACGCTTCGTTAACATCGCGGGAAACTTCACGTTGTTAATAGTGCGTGAGGACAGATATAGGCCGCCTTGCCATAAGGTTATTTTAGAATAGTAAAGAAAGACTTGAACTTTGAATACATCTGACGCATTGTGGGCCTCCTTTTAAATTAGGAGTTACTCATTTGAAGGACGTGGTTCCCAGTTCCAAGCTAATTGCGTTAAGTTGGTGCGGCACCGTAAACATACAGTTAGCGGGCGCAGGTCTAATTATGTTAAGAGGTCACTTTGAGCTGCGCCGACACTTCCGGCCCCGCTCACGACTACTAGGTGTATCACACGCCGGGCTTACATCGTTTTGAACGGATTGGGTACACAAGCTGTTTGGGCATGTAATATAGACCGGCAGACCGAATAATATAGTCGAACATAATTATTATCACTTTAAACTCAATCGCCACATGTGGGTAGTAACATCACTTAAAGCGGAAAATTTGCATGATGCTGAGAGGCGCATGTTTGTTAGTGTTCTTTTTTTATAGAGGGAGCAAACGAGCAGGAGCTTCACTTGATGTTAAGTGAAACCGCCGCCCATAAACATCCTCAATGCCAAAGGGCTCGCAAGCGCGTTGCCAGTCTTTGAAGAACGGTTCAGTATCTGTTGTTTGGAACCTGCTTTTATTTCAGTAAAGTTGTGTTTAAAACGTGGTCTTTTTAAAAATCATTCTCTTATCGTTCAAATGTCGTCATGTGAGCCTAGTCCGCAGTACAAATAAACAAACGGGCGCAGCGTCGACAGCTCGCACGCCGCTTGAATCCGGCCGCTCGTCACTCGTCTCAGTTGTCGTGTTGTGTGTTGTTGTCGCAACTCCCACTGGCCCGCTGATTACTTTACCTAACACTCTAACTTGTTATGTCACCGTTAACCCGGCAAACAGCTCGTTACTCCACATCGCACCTAACCCGACACGCAAAAGAGCAAGCTCCTAAAACAAAACGTGTCAACTCGATGTGTACGTACATTTGTACGTACTCTGTTTTGTGGTAAAACCTTCATTTTGGCTTAAATTAGGATTCTCTATGGATGTTATTATTTTTAAATATTGGCTTTGAACAAATGCGGATTAATCAAAGCTCGTAGAACAATAAAGCGAATCGAAAACTGTACATTTTGACGAGTTGGGTCGCCCCAAGCGTACAAGTTTTTAATATTCTGTATGTATAATACGGGTTGCGTACGAAATGAAAAAGTGTATTTTGTTGTCTGTACGATAAAATGACCCTGATACTACTCAGTGGGTTCATTAAGTTCTCGAATATCGGAAACCTTAATTTCTCTGGATAAGATGTGGTTAAATAAAATAGAACATAGGTATGCATAGTTATAAACTAGTTATACTGTGAGTAATGAGTTGTTGAGGCGTCGATATTTGACTCCAAAACACAAATAGGGTATAAAATAACAAGTGAAAAAGTGTCAAGTAGGGCGTTCAATGTTCATGTTATCTCGTAAGTAGAACAAAGCTGTAACAAAGTTGGTAACTGGTGGGCAGCAGCAGGCAACAAGTCGGTCGACGTGTGTCAGCCGGCTACACCCCCCACTGGCAAACTTATGTAGGACTTATTTTGTTACATCGGTTGCATAAACAGCAACGGTTTTGTTTTTGATTAATTATTTGTAAGTAACATAGGATAAAAGTATCGCAATACGCTAAGAAGCTCCTGAAATGTACGAGTATAACATCTCGCGTCGTTACACAGCTGCATTCCCGTATCGCTCTCGTGGGACTCGTTCGCCTCAACTGCATATAGATGCGATGCACCTAATGTCATCTTCAATAGTTAATAAGTGTAATGGTATTGCTTAAAAGTTTATATTCTTTTCGTAAAGGAACATACAAATTTTCTTTACTACAGAAGTATTACGGTGTTCTATTTGTGCTGTTATGCTTAAAGTAAATAAAGGAGGGCCCACGTCCTGACGACGCCGACACACTGCTCGGTTCGGTCGAGTCACGCTGCGGCGAGTTAGATGGGCCTACGTGACGTCATTATATACGTAATTGGTTCCACTCGAACTTGTTACAATCTAATTGCTTTTTTACTCATCTTCTGGACATTATCTAACATCAACGTCCAAGTTGTACAAAAATGGCCTAGTTTAAGATCGATCAGGTCGTATACATGCGCAGACCGAATTGCAAATAGCAGAAGACAAATCGTAGTAAGTTGGAAGGCTGCGTCGAGGCATCGAACGGTCGCAGGTGCGGATTGGCAATTAGAACAATTAATCATGGGAACGAAGGTCGTTTGCGAGACAAAGATTGGTGAGGTGACATAAATCGTGCGCTATCTGCGCGCATTAAACGCAAGCTTCTGTCCCGAATTGTTCGAGGGAGCAAAAAATCTCGCGAGTAATTGGAGGCAATCAGTCCGGTTTGATAAGCTTTGAGCTCTTGCGCGAGCCCTAACCCTATTCTTTACGAATGAAACAGTCTTAGCCATACAAATTCCATTGCTTTGCTTTATTGTCAAATGTTTGTAAATAACAAAGGACTCCCAATAAAACTATTCAGAGGAAATATTATTTCCATTCCATTAGAATGGAAAGTAGCTTCATACAAAAAGGTGAAGCGCCGAATTTTAGTGTAATAAACGAGGTCTAAAACGTTCACGGAGGGGAGTGACAGAGTGCGAGAGGCAATTTGGGAGTACATAAATTAATAAGAGCTTTGTGAGCTAAGGGCTCGGCGAACGACGCGGGGCGCATACCTTAGTCTCACTTCCGTTTCGCTTCATTCCTAAATTACTCCTACCGAAAGCCAGGAGCGGGATATCGCATTTTTTTTAATTTTCATTGTAATACATAAATTTTTAAAAAATTAAAAAAAGGTGAAAACCTCGTATGAAATGTGCATATTATGCTGCTTCTCAAACTACCCCAACACTTTCACATTAATAATTTCCATGTCTTCAGGCGTAAGATGCTGCAGCCACTGTTGAGCCGTGACCAATAGTGATAATTACAAAGTAGAAATGTATTATTTTTTATTTTTAAATTGCACATTTGCATTTCTTAATCTAGTTTGCTCTTTACTTTTAATGTTTAAGTTATTTTCTCTTTATCATTGTAATGTTTCCCTCTAAATGTTGTGCACTTTTATTATTGATGCACATGCATGTGTCTTGTTTTTCTATGTCATGTGTTCTCTGTGTTTGTATGTGTGTAGTGTTTCGTTAGTGAGGCTTTTAAAATAATATAATTTAGCTCGTCGCAAACACAGAATTGTCAACGTCCTCTAGATATGAAAATGGCTCCTTGAGAGAAACATTACCGGGAGATACTAGTTCCGCTCTTGTATCTCCTTACACTCGAGTGCGCCCCGCTTACGAATGTAGCAGAGCGGACCTTTGATATGCTGTACGTCAACGCTATACGTCCGAAAAGCAAAAAGCAGTTCGTAAATAGAAGATATTAATTTTGTTTGGGAACCTACAATTAGTATATAATATAACTTACAACTGTTTAAATATGTTAATTAATTTTACTGATTCGATAATAAGCCATACCTCCATCATCAGGAATGTTCAGCAGCTTTTTGGCGCCGGGACTGGGTCCTCTGACGGCAGAGAGCGCCCGCTGAAGGGTCTCGCTCATCTGCTTCGATTGCCCGAGCTGCCCGCCCGCCCACAACACGAGCAACGTCGCCCACACGAGCCCCGCGTGACACATGGCGTCTGCCTTGCGCTACATGCTTTTGTTGTTCATCTGAAACATGTTTAACTTTATATTAGAATGGATTACAATAATAAGCAAACAAGATCTTCCCTTTCATCTTTAACCACTACCTTAAAAACAAAATTATTACTAACATTTCAAAAATCACATTATGTACATACATTTACTAAGTAACTCATACAATATCTTGTTAACCTGTCATATGCTGATTACTGAGAATATTCTTATTGTGCGAAAATAGTTTAAATATAAACGTGTGGAAATCATTAATATAATTTATAAAATACTGTTTACATGTCAAAAGGAAGAGACTGGCTGCCCACAACACAGGGAATCCTAGTGTGGGGTCCAGTGCACTTTACTTAATCTAAATATTCTGTATATTGTGTATAATATAGTTTTTTTCTTTTCTTTAGATTAATAGGGTCGTTAAAACGCCGAAGTTAGAGCGAAAACCATCCAAATCATTGTTATTCCATCGTCGTTATGCTTCTTGGCCTAAAAGAATGAAAAATATGAAATAAAACATATTTCGATGAGAGCACTCAGCGTGGCACAATTTAGCTGAAAAAGCAGAAATAAAAAGCGAAATTCTATTTCATTCGGAAAGCAGCTTCGTTTGCGGTTTGAAATACAATTAGAAACTTTGAGTACTATTTCACTGAAAAACCATATCCATGTTGAAAATACCGAGAGAAGCAGAACTGTCAGTCATTATTTTTGTCAGATGAACTGGAGATATTATAACGAGACGCCGCTTTTGGGTCGCACTTATTTAGGAAAATCTGATTTTCATTTCAACATACGTATTCATCTGCTCAGGCAAATTCTGTAGAAAAATTCAGACGAAATTAAATTTGAATAAGGGCAAGACATACCGTTATTCACAAAACACGATCACTCAACACTTTCAGGACACACAAACACAATACACAACTATTAATATTCACGAAAACCACAATAAATCCAAAATTTCACTACTTAACAGACATAAGTTAACAAAATCAACAATATCCCATTTCGTTAAACCGAATGAAACTAACCTAAGAATTTTAACTAAACCATTTGAACAGCTTTCGAAACTTGGAACGAGTATTTACAAAATAATTCAAGCGACATATTTATAAAATGAAGCCGTACGCCCTTGGTAATAGAGCACGTGTGCCCGCAAAGTACGGGCGTCCCGAACGCATCTTTGTATTCGATTCTCTACCTGAGTCTTGTCCCTTTTTTCTTATGTTACATTTTATTCCAATACTTCTTTATTCCATACTCTTTAGGACCAATGTCGCCTGACAGTTTAGCGAAGACTATTGCAAAAGCTTTTTGTGCAGTTGGAACCGTTCAGGTGAACGAAGGTTAGTAAACGTACGGAAACTCATCAATGATAATTCATACAATTCGTGGTACAAATAACTTTAAAGTGGGAATAGTGTGACTCATAATTATCTTGATATTCAGCTGACTAGGAAATTTCGAATTGCTAAAACTTTTAAGAAATGTCTGTGATAAGTATATAAAAAAAAAAATTGTGCGTGTACTAGGTGTACACACGTAAGAAGTGAAACTTCTTTATGATCTTATTTTTCGAAAAATGATCTACTATATGCAACTTTACAGAAATTCGTTAAATTAGATAAAAGTTTAACAAAAGGCTTTTATTATCATAGACATGAATACAAATATTTCATTTTACCTTATTACTACGAAGATTATTATAGAATTTCATTAATTGTAATAGAATTATTACTATCATTGAAAAACGTGACGATTTGCTACAAAATTTCTCCCATACGTCGATAAAGAAGTTTCATTCCAACGCCGATAAAGAAGTTTGACTTCAAAAAGCAACATGGCGCGTAACCGAAAAATGTGACGCGTAACGAAAAAATGTTACACTAAATTTTTTTCCAACCTCGATACAGAAGTTTCACTTCAAAAATATTATATTCTTACAATAGTAAAATCTTTTAACTTCATTAGATTCTACTAGATTTTTTTTTTACTTTGTATTAAATTTACTATATTATTCGTATTAGCTATTTTGATAAGGTATTACTTATTTAAATATTGAACAAATTGCGAAATAATTAAATACATATAATATTGTATAATATGATGATGAAAAGATTTTTTCTCTAATGTATATTGTTAAATTCTGTACATTCAGATCAGTCTCCACTCGTTATTTTTAAGTCAGTGAATTCATTAAATTTTGGAAAAGTCCTTTAACTTCATAACCAACACCAAAATTCTACACGTATAATATTGTATAATATGATGATGAAAAGATTTTTTCTCTAATGTATATTGTTAAATTCTGTACATTCAGATCAGTCTCCACTCGTTATTTTTAAGTCAGTGAATTCATTAAATTTTGGAAAAGTCCTTTAACTTCATAACCAACACCAAAATTCTACACGTACCTATATCTACTATTTAATACAAATCATGATTCTGACTGCAAGTCAACACAATATCAGGCATATTTTTCACATAATCCCGTGATATGAGTTAATAATTAAGCGTTTCTTTGAGAAAAATCTATCAAACGACGGCGTTTAGTAGGTCCTACTCCTAGAAGAAACATGACTGTTGGATTTAAATTAAAACTTCACAATGGTAACGAAAAAGTTAGGACGGCGGTGGTAAAGTAAATAGTTATAAAACTTTGATATTATTTATTTCAGTCATATATTAAATGTATTCTGTATTGAAATGGTAATGTGCGCGATACAAATTAATATTTTATGTACTTACTATACGAAAATTGCAAACTGCAAATTTTAATTTAAGCGCATATCATGCGTTGATTAAAAATGAATATTCAAAGCTTTTTATGGCATATGCGATGCAAAACATTAATAAACCTTTGAAAGCCGAAATCCGACGCAATTAAAGTTTTGGAGTTTAAATAAATCTACATGAAAGAACTTTAATGTCGAAACAACTATGCAACGCGACGAGGACACGTCTTCGGCATTCCCGATCGGAATAAAAGCAACGGAGTGGTTGAGGTGGTCCCGGGCCGCCAGCGATTTGCATACAACACCGATATTCAATTAGTTAGTAATTGTCCATCGCTAATGAGCACACGCGGCCTCTTAATGAACAGACACTACGCAGCGTCCATTAATTAAATTAATATCACCCAATAACAAAGTATTCATTACAGATAGCCGTCTTAATCTCTACAATCAACAAACTACATTTCTGATAGACTATATTGAAACATCATCATCATACATCGTATTGGTTAATGTCAGTACTGATAACAGTAGTCAGGAAGGTTAGGAAATGAATTTCATTGGAAATGAACAAATAATTCTGCACCAAATAAAATAAATTCCAAAAAGTCGCAAGGTAAGTACATCGATCAGTGAACAAAGCGCATTTCCTAATCATCCCGACAAAATGAATGCAAATTCTATACAATATTTCCGCCACAAATATAAGTTAGCATCGTCCATCGGTCCGTTCATAAATATTCAGCGAGGCCCGCACCCGCCGCGCTGACACAACACACCAAACCCGAGTTTGATCAACTTCATCAATTAATTTTAATTCAATTTTTGGCTGCCGACATTCCTGGAGACCAGTACGTCTATCGACTAACTTTAAAAAAGACGTATGAGTCCGAATCCTTAAGACATGATTCAAATGAACCCATATCTCGCTATCGCACCAACAAGCGCTTTAATAAAACTCTGCCAATAAGCCTATTGCAACCACATCTCTTGCCCCCTCTCGTTATTCGTTTTGTTGGGACAGGGAGGTCCGGCAAGGCTGGCCACTAATTACACATTTGGCTCTCTTCAGCCATTACTGTTTACGGCAGCCGCCGACTGTTTGCAAATAGGTTATACACATGTGTAAACTTGATCGTGGGCGTGGGTTCGAATCCCACTTCTGATCTGTAAACTTGATCTTGGGTAGTAACTATTTGATTCCGTTGATACTTCTCACTTTTTCACTTTTAAAATTTTAGCTGTCGCTCCCTCGTGCGCAGCTTGTTTTATATCCTTTTCCCCACTTCGACGCGATCCCACTCCGGGTTGGTTTTGACGTCAGTTCCGTAAAACCACAGAATAAGTAAACTGAACAACTGTGCCATAGCATGATTATATTTCTTTAACTAAAATTGAACAGGATATAAATAAAAAAGCTAACACATGACCTACTCATTGCAATCACCCAACTATTACCTATACGAGAAATAATGTGAAGAGTTTGTGCTCTATGTACTCAATTCAGTAGTTTCTATATTTGCAATTGCTTATCGAAAAGATATAAATTAAAAATTTAAGAAAGAAATTACGTTTCGCAATAGGAATATTTATCTTCTGACAAAATTAATTTTTAAACGGTTTTTTATTTGTTGCAACTGTTCCCCACGTTCATATGCATTGCATCTTATTATAATTATTGCGATTTAATAATCTATTTTTAATAGAATCAAACAATCGTTTTGCATACGTCGCCTCGGTGCTCAGACGGACATCGAACTCGCATACAATAACTCATATTCAATCCGGCGATTCATACCAATGATTCACATTTAGAGCCCAACTTGAGTTAAGTCGGAGTAGGAGCAGGGTTTTAAAAAAACCCTATGGAAGGCAAGTTATATAACTACAAACCGTACTGTAAAAGCCAAGATATCGATTTAAAATCTGTGTTAATAATTCAAATGGAGCGATAAAACTAAACGAGTTCAATCAGCCGTAACGACTAACTAGCGAATCCGTTCGCTGACGCGCGATCAAATACAATTTAACATCTGTACATTGCTTGCTACTAAAGGATATTGATGAGTACAGTTGCCACACAAAAAGCGTTGTAAAGTGATTGGTATAAAGCAGTATAGTAAAGTTTTGGCTGCGCATCGAGTGCGCTGACCACACATCGATAAACATTTAACTGTGTCGGACCACACGCAATTTCTCGATAATTTTACTATGGATATATTTTGCAATATTTATACATTTACTGTT